CTATAGGAACTCATTTTCATGCCCTCTACATGTTGGTCCTTAGCCCTTGCAACTAGAAGTTGAGTGTTTGGAATCACTCATGCGAGTTCTTCACAAAAATGAGTCAATAAGTGGCTTGAAGTTCTACGGCAGGGGACTCCATTGCTAGTCCGCTAGGAAGGTCAATAAGAACTCCTAAAGCTAGATCTTAGGTTCTAAGAGTAGGAGACTAAGACCTCACTAAAAATGAGGTCAACAAGCACCTACTATGAAAATAAGTTTAATGTTGTTGTTGTAATTTTAAATCAGAAATAAACATCTCATTTAGTTGTTGTGAACTTTAAAAAAAGTTCGCCCATGAAGCTAAAGAAGAAAAAATCAGCAGCATGCTAAAATAGCAGATGAAATGCATGGATAGGCTTAAAAGAATTCAAGAAATTTAAAATCATTTGAGCTTAATCAAATCAATAAATAAACTGAATCCAAGATTCCAATGTCAATAGATTCCATTTTACTATTATTTAATATAGAGAAATGTTGAGATTTGGAATAGAGTGGCTCGTTTTATTGATAGAAAAGGGATATTTAAACCCAATAATAATAGACACAGCAAAGTAAAGAAATAAAACAAAATAAACAAACATAAAAGAAATAAAACAGAATAAATAAATAGGAATGAAATAAAATATAATAAAACAAATAGGAAATATATAATGAGGGGATAAAAGCTAATAATAGGTAATAATGGCTACGAATTATCGTTATAAATCTAATACTCCTCCTCAAGTTGAAGCATAGATGTTGATCATATTCAACTTGGATTTGAAGTCATTGAATGAACAAAAACAAAAGACCAGAAAGATTCTTGGTGAGAATATCTGCTAGCTAACCATTAGAGGACACAAACGGAACAAAAATTTTCTCGGACTCAATTTTTTCCTTAATAAAGTGTATGTCAATCTCAATAGTTTTGGTATGCTCATACTGAACTAGATTGCGAGCAATGCAGATGACGGTCTTATTATCACATAATAGCTGCAATGGAATAGAGGTTGGAATACAAATTTCACGGAGCATGATGCGTAATCATAGGGCTTTATAGATCCCCGGGGACATAGACCGAAATTCAGCTTCAACACTGCTCCGGGCAACCACAGACTGTTTTTTGTTTTTCCACGTGATAAGATTTCCTCGTACAAATGAGCAATACCCCGACATAGAATGTCGATCATGAACCGAACTGACCCGGCTCAATTAGCATCTGTATAAACAACAACAAATCGAGAGATGTGACAAAAGAAAAATAAACCTAAGTCAGGTATACCTTTTAAATGGTGGAGAACCAATGAACAGCTGGATGATGATGCTCATAGGGGTCATGCATGAATTGACTCACTATACCAATAGTGTGGTATATATCGAGGCGAGTATGGGCGAGGTAGATGAATTTCTACACAAGACGCTGGTAGTGAGTCTTATTGATAGACATAGCATTGAGAATGTCAGATAATTTTTCATTGGGATCCATAGGGACAACCACGGGTTTCTATAGAAGAAAATTAGTCTTTATCAAGAGATGAACTACATATTTACACTGAGATAGGCAAAGACCTCAAGATGATCGAACTACTTCAATGCCAAAGAAGTATCAGAGAGATCCCAAGTCTTTCATTTCAAAGGACTTCGCAAGAATGTTTTTCAAGGACTCCAATGCTGAGAGATCGTTACTTGTAAGAATAATATCATCAACGCAGACAATAAGAATATCTACCTGATATGCGTCAAATTTTCATATTTTTCATGCTTTAATTCCAGCTATTTACCTTTTTTACTTTTGAAAGGTTGGAATTAATTTTACAGGTTACCGAAGTACTAACACAAAAATCAAAATAAAAAGAGGAAGTTTAGAAAAATTGGTGTGACCATGCCTCCTGAGCAACGTGGTCATGCAGAAATCGGGCATGGTAACACCCAATTTGCCAAAAAAAGATCGTGCGAAGGATCCTTCTGGAGTAGCCACACTGAACCGCGGAGTGACCACGCCGACCAACCCGAGCCCACGAAGTAATTACACAGCAGGTCGAGCGCTGTCATGCCACATATCTTTTCAGTTTTGGAAAAATTTTAATGCGGGATTTTGACAATTTTGGGAAAGTTTTTGAATTCATTCTATAAAATCATTGCAATGAGAAGATTTAGGAAGCTTTTGGTGGGGAGAATTAAGAAGGAGGCTAGGGTTTAGAGGGAGACTTTTTCTCTTCTCTCTAATTACTTTTGTCTGATTTTTCTGAGAGTTTGTGAGAGAATTTGGAGGCAGTTCCTGTAAGAGAGGAGATCAAAGGGTTGTAAGTGTTTTTTATTGCAATAAAAATATTTCTCACGGGTTTTGTTTGAATGAAATTGCCTTTGTTTTTCTCTCAATCCATAAGTAGCTAAGCATTATTGTCGTGCCTTTGTGATTTTTGGGATGGATTTCTTGGCTTGAATTTTATTCCTGATTTCTCATATTGATTTATGCGATTGAATTCGATAAAATTGTTGGATAACTTTCTGAACTTCGCTTACTTCTAACCGGGCCAATTAGAACGTTAAAATTCATCGTGATATACAACTTTGGCAGAAGTGTAGTAGAATGATTGGGTTAACCACAAGATCTGAATCAAATAGGAATATTTTATTCTAGATCTTGCAACCAATAAAAGAGGATCTAAATCTATTGGGGATGCCATAAAGATAGGCGAAAGTTATTTTTGTGGAATTCCAAATCTTCTTGGGATCTAGGCATAGGCTTAAGAAGAACTTAATATCCCTAGTTGACAACCACCACGAAAGAGGAATTTGAATAAAAATCAAGCCAACAAACACACCTAAATCAAAGAGGCATGATCCTCATCAATCTTGAAAAAAAGCCTTGGGCAATGCACAAATTTGAATATTCTACATTTCATAGCATGCATAATATTGATAAATTTTTAAACTAGATCAAAAAAACTGATGATTACTTTGATCGCAAAAACATAGAAAACTATCAAACAACTACTTTCTTCAAAAAATTAAAAATGCAAGGAAAGGAAGGATTCACCAAAAATAGAACAAATACTTGTGAGAAAAACTTTGACATGAGTAGTGGTAAAAGAAAATTTAATTACCATCTAAAACAACTAAACCCCAAAACATGAGATTGTCTACTTAGCTCTATGGATATGTCCTTCTGCTTTTGATAGGAGGAGTCTGAAAGATGTAGTTTAGCATGAAAGAAGGAAATCATAAGAATGAAGATAGCTTCAACCATATAGAGAAAAAATGCTACATATTGTGTTCTATGAAAAGAAGAATCAAACCCATCATCAAAAGAAATATCAACTTCAGTAGTTGCTCTTAGACTTTGCTCAAAAATTCCCAATATCATTTTCCAGTGGGAAATAAAATTCTAATGATATACCAAGGGAGAGCTCTCATTTTTCTCAAGTTGCTTCATACATTGAGTTCTAGATCTAGAATCATCACGTTCGTAAAACCAGAACTTTATAAAAAGTATTGAACAAACCTCACAAAGGGGGGAGAGAAGGAAAGAGAGAAAGCAAGGAATTAGAAAGAAATGTTTTAAAATTTTACTAAATTTCTATAAAAAAAATACATATTAAAGTAACCCAAGCCAATCAAAATGTCTAAATGTATGAGTTCATCTTTTGACCCTCTTTATAGGTTTAAGTCAAAGTTCAATACAATAAAAGTTATAATACTTAGAAAAGTAAAAATTGTACAAAAAGCAATTGAACAAAATTAGTTATGTAGCTAAATTGTTTAATTGAACTGACAAACTAGTTGGCAAATTCCAAGTTCTATTATTTGAATAGCTGCAATTCAAAGACCTGATGATATACTAAGTAAAAGTTGAATTCCTTGATTAAATTCTCTTGATGATCTGTTAAAGTTCATAAAATGAGGTGCCAAGTTCCCTAGAAAGGGGTGCCAATTTCATTGGTTGAGTTCAGTGGATGAGTTCAGCATCTTCGGAAGCTTCAACTCTGAGATGAATTTAAGGTCTATGGTATCTTCAAGATTAAAATGATTTTACGATCTCTGATAACTATAAGGCCTCTATTGATTTCAGCTTCAAATGAGTTCAAGATCTTTGGAGACTTCAAGTCTAAGCTGAGTTCAAGATGTTTAGCAGCTTCAAGTTTGAAACAAGTTCATGATCTTTGAAAACATTAAATCTGACATGAGTTCAAAATCTCCAGCAACTTTAAATTTGAGACAAGTTCGAAGTTGCATTCTAACTTGATTAACCTAATCCAGTTGATCAAGTGTAGATAATAATTAGCAAAACAAAAAAGTTAGCATTCTCATTTTTAATACACCTAATAACATGAGATTGCATCAACATACACCTAACCACATAAGATTCTACCAACATAAAATTCAAACGTTGAACCGTATTAAAAGTCTCTATGTTGTATAACAAACAAATAGCATCAAATATAGAATATATTAGAAGGAAGCGGATCCCAAATCATGAGATCAAAGTCCAAAAATGGCGAAAAAAGTTTAAAATTATAATGCAAAAGTCTTGCCCAAATTGATATGCAACAAGTGCTTTACTAGATAGAATCCACAAAGGCATATTTGTCAGAAACAGTGACCTATGACAACTGTCAGATCCGATATCACTATTTAAAAAAATATGAATTAACAAATAACTAATTTCAAGAACATTAGCACCATGCATGTGTTTACTGTGATGAAATCAATATACTTCCAACCGAAAAATCAGAGAGAAAATGCTCATACTAAGCATATCAAGAACTCAGAAAAGCAATTCAACCAGGATTTTTCCATTAATTCATCAAAAGAAAAATGAAAACCAAAAATTTCCATTAGGAACCTAATTTTCACAGAATAAGAACCCTATTCTGTAATTTCCAGCACCCCACCACAGACGAACAAAAAAGCACAGGAGGAGAAAAGAAAAAAACATAATCCGCAGCACAAAACTTAAAGAGAAGTCATTCTTTCACCTCGAAGTCGGTTCCTGATGAGCTCTATCTTCTCCTAGCAAAGTCGACGAATTTTCTTAAGATAATCTGAATAGCTAGAGATCTTGAGATTATGGGGAAAAAAGCGATGAATTTTATCCAAATTAAAAATAAAAATAAAAACTCAAATCAAGAAGAAAGTCTGGAATTTGTGTTCCGAGCTCGAGAAGCTGACAGTAGAGTAAAGAACGTGTCGAAAGGACGTGTCGATAAATGCTGTGGATGCGCTGTCTCTCTCCCAGTCTCCCTGCTAAAATACTAATAGTTATGGATGTTAGGTTCGTTCGTGTTCGGTTCGTTTACACCCCTAGATGTTCGATAATAATTAAGGAAAAAAATACATATAATGGCTTCATCAGATAAATGCTGTGGATGCGCTGTCTCTCTCCCAGTCGCCCTGCTAAAATAGTAATAGTTATGGACGTTAGATAATAATTAAGGAAAAAAATACATATAATGTCTTCATAGGCAGCATACGAAGTATTCTTATTTAGAAAAGGCAACATTTTTACAATTTTAAAAATAGGATTTTTTTAAATTTAGTTTAAGATAAAATTAGTGTATTAGGCTAAATAGTCATGCCGCGGCTATTTATTATCCATGTGGCTCCCTGTAAGTGGAATGGTCGTCCTACGTAGTGATTTCATTCTAAATAAAAAAAGTAAAATACAATCGGGACATACACCACGACTGACGACGACATACCACAACATCATGCTATAATTTCCTTTCTCCCTCCCTGTAAATCCTGCAAATCCTGCAAATCCTCAAAGCTCATCTTCACCAATCTTCTACTTATGATTTCTTTTCACCGGCGAGAACCGCCCAACTGCGGCGTCTCCCAAAGACTCTCTAACCTCTCTATTCCCCACCACGGAATCTCCAAATCTCTGTCCAACCACTGTTCCCTAAGCTAAAAATTACTTTTCTAGTTTGTTTAAAGTTTTTTGATAGATTTTGTTTGTAATGATACATTTTACCAAAAATTGCATTTCCACCCTTGATGTATATAGCATTTGTGTGGTGGAACAAAGCAATGGTTTCCATTTTACCAAAAATTGCATGTCTTGTATTATGCAAACTCTCTCAGTATTGATAAAACTCTTTTATTAAAGTATCCAATGAGGAGGCTGTGGTGGAATTAGTTCATTAGCATCTCTTGAATTGTCAGCTTTGGAAAATATGTCATTGTTGAGAATCTCATATTAATATAGCAATAATAGTTGTGGTACTAAAAACTAATCTGGCTAAAATGCAAGAGTTATTAGGACAACCTAAATATGTGAGGATGAATCTTGCTTCAACATAAGAATCTACATGTGGATACCAATTTATTGTTTTAGGGTGATTGTTGGAGAGTCTAGCCAAACAATATAGAGTTATGTTTATGGATGTATACTTCGAGAGTAAAAAGAAAACCATTGATAGAAATAATTACTTTGAAATTGTGTGATGGAATTTGTGCCATATTCTCCTTTCTTCCTCGCACCAAAAATCACCAGAAGTCTTCGAATATACGAGAATGAAGCTAGAAGGATGCCAACACCCACTCGTGTAAACTTGCACGTGTACGAAGTATATGAAATCTGATGTCATTATTATATAGTTCAGATAAATAGCATTCAAGGTGCAACATGTTCATGTTTTAGGCATCAGATACTTCATATTCCATGTTCTTGCATGATTGCAGCCTCAGAAAATCATTGATTAGACCACAATCCATATATTTCTCAATATTCTCAACTCCGTAAATACAAAGAAACATACGCTTGCAGTTCCATGTAATTCTAAGTTAAGTCTAAATGGATGGATTTCAACATTGAACAAGGTATTATCGAATTGCTTCCACCTACATTCAAACGGAGATCCGGACGACCACGGACCAAGCGTTATACTAACACTATGGATGAGAATAAGACACGAAGCTCAAGAATTTACATTTTGTGCAGGTGTTAGATATTGAAAACATTATCATCTGTTTTTTTATTCTCTCTTAAACCTTGTTATACTTTTGTCTGCAATGTAGCTAACTAATTTATATTCATCTTTGCTGTAAATTTTTGTGGACTCGGGCCCTTGATTTACTGATTTACCTTTTGGGGGAGCAGTAAATCTATGAACATAAAAATAGAGGATGTTCTATTGTTGCTGTTGTTGGATAGCTTAATGTTTGATATAATAAAGTATGTTTGCTCCATCAAATGCTCTTTGTTTAGTTTAGCTTCCCTCCATATACTTGGGTTGCCTCCATTTCTAATCTACATTTGTTTCTTTGCTTAATTGAATCTCTACATTAGTGACTTTTAAGCTTTATTATTTTTTATTTTTTAAGTTTTTTGTGCCTGTCAAAATTTGTTTTTTTTTTTGTTTTGCATGAATCAATTCTTGATGACAGATTCTGATTTTGAACAATGAGTTGAAGAGTGGAACTTTAGGTGCTAGACATGTTGAATGCATAGGAATTGAATGTTACACATGTAATTAAAAAAAAAAATCACAAGGAAAACGATGCATGTCATGGCGATTTTTGCCACGTAAGGAAATCGTCGTGCCACATGGTGATTTCCTTGCGTGGCTGAAATAGCCACGATACGTGGCTATTTTTTCTATTTTAATAAATATAT